ACTCTTTCAGGTTACTCTGTATACTCAAGGACATATCATTTTTAAATTTAAAAAAAAAAAATCTAACAGTAACTGCCCACATTGCACCTGCCCTTCACAATCCTGATAACTTTTCCAGCTACACATTTCCTATTTTCTGGATCAGCCTATGTGTCACCAGTCTCTAAAGAACATGTTTTGAATTTATTAAAAGCCCAACAGCAGAAGAATTCTCTCATTTGGCAAAGATACCATCACAGGGACACTTGCTCTTGGCTCCATGACAAGAAATCCGTGGCACTTTGTTTGTCCAATCCACAAAAACACCATTCCTCCCCTCCCAACCAGCCCTTCAAGATAGTTCTCCCTTCTCCAGAGACTTTTCCAAACAAGTCTGCAAGTCTGAAGTTTTGGGTTTCATTTCATAAACAGGATACAACCCCCGAGTGCAGCTCAGGATACTGTCACTGCCACATGGGCTCAGCACTAATCACAACAGCCTTCTGAAATATTCCCTTGGCCCTTCCTGAAATATTCCCTTGGCCCTTTCTTTCCACTGAGAGGCCTGATTTTTAAACCAGCCATCTTTCGAAGTAGGCATAAAATATAAACAAGAAGCCAAACTCCAGGGCCCAGCCAAAGGGTATACATTAGTCATGGCAAGGCTGGGAAGGAAGGGAAGGGCAGCTGGCCCCAAAATGGGTGTCTGCACTGGTCCAGTTACCACGTCTCACTGCAGGGATTGCCCAATCCTTTAAAAAGACACAGACATCCTTCAGATAATCATTTAACTCACACCAGTTTGTTTTTTCAACTGCACCTCTAAACATAAGCTCCTCTTCCAAACTCTCTCCCTTTTCAGAGTTTCCAGCCTATCTGGATAAAACACTTGGTGAGGACTCCACCGACACAGCAATTTCACCTCACAGCGGTAAAAGCGAGAAACCTCCTAAGAGTGTGTGGATATATCAATTTAACAGCTGAAGAGCAAATACAGGGATGAACAAGAATGAAACCCCAAATGTGTTCAGCTGCCCGAACACCTCTGAAGATGCAGATTTAATTCACTTCTACAATCACACAGGGGATATAACAGACCAGAGACCTGAATCCAGATTCTTGGATTCAAGAGCACCTTCCCAGCCTAATGTTTCACTATAAACTTCCATCACTGTGATTCAGCAAGGGACCAATCTCTGCTATTGATCCCAGCAGACTCTGCATTAACCCCAGGAATATCCAAGGAGCCCTCTGGATTTCCATCAGTGCAACGGAGCCGTCTCAAGCCCTAGTGATAAGCAACTGGAAACGGGTGACAAATACACTCTAAGGACTCAATCACTGCTTAATATAAAGAGTCAGCTATTTAAATGTGCTCAAGCCAAGGAACTCATAAGTGAAAGAAAACAGTTAGTCAAGGGATCTTCCTGTTGAAAATACACTGTATATTAAAAAGATATCACCCCCTCTCACAGAGATAAGAGTAATATTGGTTATGTGGTTCCCAGAAACGCTTTTAATCAACTACAACCATGTCTCCTTCACTTTGCAGTCTGTAATTACTGCAACAGCATGAATTTCTTTCCTATAAAACTGATTTTCTCTGGAGAAACTCACGATCCTGAGATCTGTTGGAAGGAGATAATTTAGAAAAGTTCCTCCAAAGTATACAAAACATCTGTTCCACCCTTTTCCCTGTCATGATGGCAAGCAGCTGAAGACTGACTGGACAATTATTTCCACAGGAAAATTATTTGCATCAACATCCCTATAAGAGATGAAGTCTCTCCTAGGTAATACATTACTTTCCCCTAAATATTAACATATCTAGGGGATAATAATATGGGGAAAAAAATCTGCACAAATATTCATTTTCTTCCAACTTTTTTTGGTAATTTTGGGAGGTGGCTTGCAGCAAAATGTTGGACACTATCTCAATAATGTCAGCCTGACATTTTTCCCTATGTTTCCCAAATCCTCCTTCACAGGTTTAATCTCTCATTAGTTACAGTTCATCTTAAATGCAGGAGAGACCCACTCATTTTCCTGTGAGTTGCTCATGACTGGAAGTGGCCCTGAAGCAGAATGCTGGGTCTATCCACATGACCTTTGAGAAATCTGTGTGTGAATTCCACCCAGCTGAACAGCTCAGCCATATTCTTATCTGCAGTGGAATCCCTCACGAGACCTCAGAAATACACTGAAATTACAGATGTACATCTCTGGATTCTCCATCCATAACACAGTAGCCTGTAACTAGATAAGTGTTTAGATTTTATTAAGATAGCTGTACCCAAAACACCATATAAAGAAAAAGTTATCAGAGGTTGTAGATGGTGGGAGGGGGAGCAGTGAGTCACACTCACCACAAGTTGAAGTGCTGAGCCTCTGCAAAGCACTTCTAACATGTCTGTGACAGAACAGCTCTTCCTCTCCACCACAGCATTTCTGAGAGAACACAACTGAGTGTTCAAGTGGCAAAACCAACACTTCATTGTTGCAACCTTGGGGGGCAGAAGCTGGGAAGTTACAAAGTTTTAAATTTGTTAACTAAAGAGCTGTCAGTAACATTTTCAATGCATAATAGTCAGGATCATTGCGAAAAACTCAATGGTCTTTCATCAAGGAGAAACAATAAAAAAGAACTATTTTAAATATGAAATATTACAGGCAGCAGCCTTCCAAGAACAATGGGAATCAACAATTTGGAACTTGTCCTCTGTAAGTGATGGGTGGGTGTTGTTCAGTGAGACACAGAGCAATTTCAAAGCCAGTAGGTAAAAAAATCTCAGAATACATTTGAATCTCCAGCTTGGAGGTAAGAGGTCTTTACTGTTTTTATTATAGTTCCACTGGAAAAAACCTTGGCAACAAGGCAGTTCAAGCCAGCAAAATTAAAGGGGAAAGAGAAAGGATTTCATACTCAGAAATACACATCAAGAACTGCTTTTCAAACATGTCCCATTCGCATCTCACACACAATGTTCTGCTCTGAGCGACCTCACTGAAGCAAAAAGACTATACACAGTTTTTAAATGTCAAACACACACAAAATGTTTTAGAGAGCCCCTTAAAATTTTAAAGAAGCAAGGTCTTTCCCATAAAAGTGCCTTTGGAATTGCATTTATTTTGGTAAAATCCCCATCACCAAAACAAATTTTTAAAAAAATAAATCTGTCTTTTATCAGGGCCAAGTTCTGCATGATTCAGAGTGAGTAACACTGTGTCTTGCCCTGTGAATAGGCTCCTTTGTGCTCAAAGGGAGAAAAGGTGGGAAGAATCTTATACTTGACAAATTCACAATTCCCTTGTATTATGAGTATATGCAGGGCAAATTACTTTACTTCACCAAACTACAAGGAAATTCCCAAAAAACAGGTGTGCATGGGGGAAAGAGAGAAAGGAGGAAAAAATTAGGTTTGATTCCAGTAAAACATTTCTTGTCCTTATTTTCCTATCTTTTTCTTCCTGCTTTGCTACCCTATAAGACATTCCACTAGAGCCAAAACAATGGGTTTAATTTTAATGTTAATGGGCTTAACATTAAGTTAGCAAAGGAGGCACTACAAAGAACTATTTTATCCAAAATAGAAGACTCTCAACCAAAGGTGGGGGAAGACCTGGTCCAGAAAGTCTTTTCCCAACATTCATCAATAGAATCAAAATGTTTTTGAAAAATAAAATTGTCATTGCTAAGGGAATGAATTTGCCAGCCTAAATTCAGGCATCTCTACTTTTGAGTATAATCTTCTGCAACAGTTTTTGTTTTTAGAAGAGGTTCTCTGCTTCAACTCCAGGAAGCTGCAGCCAAGAGTACAAAGCCAAACCCAGGCAGGACCAAGGAGCCATCAGTACCCCTGTACCCTCCCTTTTCAGACCATTCTCCACCTAATGTCCTGGCTAAAGGGTTCTAATTCTAAATGCAAGTCTTGAGTACTTTCACGAGTTGCAGACCCTGCATGGAATATCATCTGGGACCTGGAATTTGTCCTGTTGAAGGAAGAGTTGGGCCAGGTGACAGGACTGCTTAGATTGCAAGATCTGTGGGGTGGGAGTTGTTTGTCTGTTACATAATTCATAGTTATACTGCAAAATCTGACTGAAAATCCAAAGGAAGAACTGAGATACTATCCATCAATTACCATCTAGCAACTCTGTTTTTCCTTTAAGTCAAACACAGCATTTCCCTGCTCTATGCAGGGAATATATACCAAAAAACACTATAACAAAAGCTGTCAGTCACGAAGACTAACTAGGGAAAAATAGAGCACTCAAATAACTCAAAAAACTGTGTCTGATGCAAAGGTATCTTCATTTCCAGAGAGACTAAAACTACCCTGTGACCAGTTTTCATCTGAGACTACATTTTGCAGATTCAGCTCCACAAACTGCAATGGAAATAACTGTGAACTGCAGCTGGTCATGTAAGTCCATAAATAATACTATCCCTCACTTTTCACAAAGAGTTGTTTATCTGCAAATACACTTCACTTGTGCTGGTGACTTCAATGCAGATTTTTCAGGGGTTCTCTCAGAGGATTTTGTTAAACTGCTCAGGAGGTATTCCAGGATGCTTTTGAGGAGCGATACAGCTGCTGTGTTTTACAGTGAAGTGACCACTGTAAACAAGATTTTAACAGATCCCTCCCACATGGCAAGGAAGTGTTTCTTTCCAATTCTCCCTAAAGTCAATAAACTTGTAAAACCCCCCAGATTTCAGAGAATTATTAAAAGTGTATTTCACAGGAACTAGAGCAATCACATTTCAGTTCCAAAATGGATCACAAGACCAATTAACTGACATTTGTAGCAACAAACTGTATCTGTGAACTACACTGCTCCCAGGAACAATTGTGCTCAGGAATGTACATGGAAGCAGGAGATAGGTTCAAGATGTTTTGGGGCAGACTCAATTACAGACAGATGTACATAACAGCATGTCCAGTCACAATGAATTAAAGCAGAACATACAGAAGAAAATAGATGAGGATGACCAAATCATATTGTTATAATTAACATACCTTGCAGTGACACCTGTGGCTTTCCAAGATAAGAAATCCGGAAGATCAAAGAAGTAGCCTGCCTTCTCCCAGGATTCCTGCAAGTTCTAATAAAAATATGTTTAGAAATGCAGATATTAGAGGTCAGGCATAATCATGTTCTTATTGTAATGCAATTAAAAAACCTGATTTTTAGGTAAAAAGAACAATTTTTTCAAACCAACTACTCTGATCATCCTGTCTGCTCTGCTCTCTGATTTACTGCCTAGAGAACTGAGCCTTTGCCCCACCACAGGCTGATCTTAAGCAAAGTTTCCCATGAAAAGTTCATGGAGGCCCAAGTTTCAGATCAATAACATGAGCTCTCAGTTCCCCATCAGCTGCTCTGTGTCACAGCAGCCTTGAAGTCAACACACAATCTTCTCAAAAACCACTTGCTTGAAGGACACTCTACTTTCTAGAATTTACCATTTTAAATTTTGTATTTGTTAATTGTAAGCACAGGAAGGAAACAAACAGCTCTGTGAGCACAAGAACAAAGCTTTTGGATCACACGGCTTTTGGAAAAGCCACTTGACGTTTCCAAACTCCTAAAAAACTCTTCTACCAAGACAGATCATTTACAGGGAGTTTCCACTGCTCTACTCTGCAGACAGATGGTGGTCCAGAAAGCAAGAATTCAGTGCCCTCTTCTGACCTTGGTACACTAAAACCAGTAAAGAATATCAAAATCAAACAGAAGTCAGTGCTGCTGACCACAAGGGTCACAATCAGACTTCCACAGTAAGATAACATTGCTTTAAAAACCTCCACCAGCTTTTTAAATCATTGAAAGGGTGCAAAGTTTTCAAACAAGTCCTACCTGGGCTCTTTCTGGAGCCAAATTTAATTCCATGCAATATTAAGAAGGGACATGCTAAATTAAAAGAAAACATAATTCCGTTTTAAGTAAGAATATGTGGCTCTAGAAATTCTTCTCTGTGAGGGTGGTGAGGCCCTGGCACAGGCTGCTCAGAGAAGCTGAGGCTGCCCCATCCCTGGGAGTGTTCAGGTTGGATGGGGCTTGGAGCAACCTGGGCTAGTGGAAGGTGTCCCTGCCCATGGCAGGGGGTTGGAACTGGATGAGCTTCAAGATCCCTCCCAAGCCCATTCTGTGATTCGATGATTCTGTAACTTTATTCAAATACTACATGATATCAAACTAAAATCTTACAAGTCCAGAAAATTGTTGAAAAGGAGTTAATGAATTCCAGAAACTAAGGTGCAATTGGGTAAGTGTAAAAAAAGAAAAATTTTCTTTAGTTTTGGATCATGCAAAGAATCTGTCTTATCTTTCTGTTTAGTTCTTCAAAAGCTTCTGAAACTTACCAGATTTCTACAAAATTGGAGCATTTCAAAAAACAAATGCTCCAATTACAGCTTTTTAACATTAAATGCACAACCTTTGGATGTTTGTTCCTGACCATTCAGGTTTAGCTCATGTGGCTGCTACACACATCAAATTTAACTTCATATGTGAATGCAAAGGAGCTCCATAATTTAGTTCAAAGGTCACTCAGCCCGATTATTTTGATAATAAAAGCCATTATGTGCTGTTAACACACCTGATGGCCTTCAAGGAACAGCAGTAGTTTGTCTATTACGGATAATAAGAAAGGAAGCTGGATTAAGAATAACTGTCCTCTTCAAACAAATCTGCTTCACCAAAGACACTCCTTGGATCCTGACTCTATTTCTTCAAGAAATCCCAAAAGCCACATGTTAGTGACACTCAAAGTATGTTGTTTCATGAACATCCAAATGATTCATTTTTTGCCATCTCAATGCTGTGTCATCACTAATTAGTACAGACAACAAGAATCACGGTGCTTTTTCCCAACAAATTTAAAGTCTCCATGTTTCACTGAAGTTAATTCAGATTTATTTTCACCCACAGTCAGGAGTCTGTGACCACATTAAAAGGATTGTGGAGAAGATCCGGGAACGTTCCCAATGCTGTGTTCACATCCTGCGACTCACCCTCCAAACTCACTTGGAGGAACTCACACAGTCCTGCTGTTTCCCAGGGGTACTTCCAGAGTCCCTTTCCTTCAGCTCTCTGATTGTTTTGGGTTGTTTTAACAACTATACCTCCACAGAATAATTTTTTTGAAGTTGTTATAGATAATCCCAAATGCTTGGGGACAAAGAGTTTAAGAATTATGTAGTGCAATGCTTTATAATATTCCTAGACAAGGAATGTCCAGGATAATGAGGGACTTTGTAATTGGACTGAAAATACACAAAAAGGTAGAATTTCACAGGAGCTCCAGCATCCAATGAAATTTTTTGGAGACACCTAGAGCCACATTCTCCTTGGAAAAACTGAAGGAGCTTTAACATTCATATTTTACTCAGGTTTGCTGAGGTAGCCTCTTTCTGTACAGGAAAGCTTTGATTTCTGCTCTTACTGAATGTATAGTTATCTTGTGAGATGGAGTGATCTTCAGTCATCTAATGTTTGTTAAAACACACTTTTTCCCACCAGAAGCAAACTGTGTATACAAACATTAAAGATATTCTAACTTTTGTTATTGTTAAGAGATTAAACATTAATCAAATTATCTTAAATTACACTATAGACAGCCTTCATAATAGATCCCTGTTGGCCACGAGATTATCTAAATTTAGGCTAGAAGCAACATCTGATTTAACACAGTGTATCAGTCTAAATTTCATGGCTACTCATCAGCCAAAACCCAGAAATTCAAAAATCATCTGAGAGTGGTGTATCAGAAATCCAGGTTAAAATCAAAAGGCACAGATGGACACATAAAAATGTTTCACCATTTAGGGCAAAAATGAAAGCTGATATGAGCATTTAAGTTCCACATCAGGTCAAACTCTAAGTCATCTGAAAACCAGAAAGAAGCCTGAAAATCACTGAAGAACCATGTGCTTTTCCCAGTTCATCCCCAGAATTGAATCTCCATCTCCCAGGCAATCTGTAGCATGGGGCTATGAAGTCTATCAGTGTGTCTTTTTCTAAATTACCGAAAACAAATGTACATTGTGTGAACAGAGGAAAGAGAACAACCCAACACTTAATGCAAACACTTCCAGGAATGTAAGAAACTGATGTCCCATGCCCTGCTCCAACTCAGACAGAGCAAGGACTTAAAACCTACATCTCCCACACTTCACACATGGGATGCCAAATCATGGGATAGAGCTATTCCAAGAGAGGCCCTGAGCAGAAATTCTGTCCTTGCCAGAGCCAAGGCCACAAATGGATCAATTTTGCAACCATGACTTGCCTTCTAATTGGTAAAAGATTAACTGACCCAATGATCAGATTCAGGAAGTGGGACAGGGGGGAGAGGAGGACCTTGGAATGTAAACTCTTAGAGGAAGACCACCAGGGCAAGATGTGTCAGAGCCACGTGCTGGTATCCTCAAATCCCAGAGGCATCCTGAGCGTGGCTTGTGCACATGTGTCTGCACTGCGTATGGACTTTGATAACACAGAGTGCTGAAACATTTATAAACAATTCTAAACAAGAGTTCAGCTCTAAACTCAACAGTCTGGACTCATTCTCACTTAACACGGAATTTACTGTTTATTTTAATGGAAAAACATTCACTCACATTCAACAAGACAAAAAGCCAGTGCAAGGGTAGCAAGCAAGGAAGAAGAAATGCAGTAAAGGAGCTGCTGCCAAGCTGATGCCAGTCCATCCACTGTCCTTCCCTCCACAGCCAGGGAAAGAGATGTCTTAATTGTTCCTGCAAATTATCCCATTGGTAGCTGCAAGTCCCAGGGGACAGAGAGAAGAAGAACGCTGGATCAAACAGCAGCTCTAACTGAGGATGTGAACACACAGAACCATCACTGACCACTGTGCTAGGAAAAAAAATACAGCCTATTGATTTTAGTTATTAATTGCAGAGGAATAATATGTAGATAGTCATTCTGTGAAGTGAAATTTTTTTTTCTAAAGGCTTTTCTTTGTTCTTCAACACTACATTAAGAACAGAGCTGAGAAAGCAGAGCATAGGAAAATTGCATTTCATTTGGAGACAGTTACTAACCAAATATCTACTCCCAGCCCAGCATCCCCCACCCACTTAGAATAAACTACAGCATCTCTGATTTCATGGGACTAGTATTTTTTAGAAATAGCTGACTTGTAATGTCATTACTATGAGGAAAACATAACATGCATCCTTTCAGTTTGGCACAAGCTACAATAAAATTTCCAGTCAGAAGTTAGTAAACAAGATTTTTTTTCTTCTACTACCTCTGGGGAAAAAAAATACCAACAGGCTAATTCTGGAGCTGCAAACCCCTGCCCTGCAATTTTTGCACTGCTGTGTTCAAGCTGTGCTCTCACTGCTCTAATGCTGGTTTGCCAAAGCACAGACATCTGTACAGTCATGCTGTACAAACACCTGCAGCAAAATAATTCCCAAGGGAAGGAGCCTGTACCTGTATTTTCAGCTCATATGCAGGCATCTACCTCCCAGAACTATCTACACACCCTGAATGCGTGTGAACATCCCATTTCTTTAGCCGAAGTCTACAAAACAGCAGAACTGCTGCAAAAAAATGCACCTGCAACTACAGAAGAACTATTGGAATAGTGTTGTGCAAGATAATTGTAGACCACAAAGAAATCTAAGGAAATAAGAGCAAAAGGAGTGAATTTAACTAGCTATTTTGAAAGACCCCTTTCCTTTTCATTGAAGCTGACATTCAAACTTACCTTACTGACTTTAGCAAGACTTTGTCAGAATTATGTTCCAGCTATCTTCTAAATATTTGTCATGAGATAATGATTCTTTATTTCAACTTTATCTACACTTGATGTATTTAGTTTGGCTGACCACATTCAAAAGTCAAATGTGGCTGCATCCACACAAATCAGCTTTTTGAAAAAAAAAAAATCATGTATTTCTTTTATTTTACATTACAGATTTAACACTGGACTCTCTCTCTCACCACACATGGTCCACAGAAGCAGAAAAATGCTCCTCCTAAGTGGGCCACAGATGTGCCCACTTCACCCAGACTGCCCCATAGGCTACACAGGAGCTGCACTCAGCTGATCATTGACTGCAGCAGTCCCTGACACAAACTCCACTTCAGGAGTGGCTTTGCCACAGGAACACCCATCTGCAATCACAAACAGATTGGAGACTGACTACTAGGTGTTAGAGGGTGAAATGATTCAGCACTGATCAAACTAAACTGAACGAAAGGCACTGCAAATCAAACAAAAGATCTCAAAAAGCCTATTATGGCCTTCAAAGTTTATTTTCTTAATTCAAGGCCAAAATGGAATAGAGATGAAGAGCTGTAAGAACAGAATACATCCTGAAGCCTCTTGTCTCTAGCTAAATCTCTATTACGTGTAAGGAGATGAAATGTTAAAGAGAATGCATTATATGGAAAAGAAAGTAAAAAAGAAGCAGATGAGAGTAAATCCTTCGTCAAATAAAAACAAATTGAACATAACAGAAAAGCATAACAAAAGAGATAAGGACCAGTATCTACTTCTCTTACAGCGGTGTCAGCTCACTCCTCACAGTCAGTGAGACCATCCTTGACTTCAGTTCTAGGAAGAGGATGATGGAAATGGAAAAGCACAGTTAGGTCATCACAGAATCACAGAATGCTTTGGGTTGGAAGGGACCTTAAAGCTCATCTCGTTCTATCCCCTGCCATGGGCAGGGACACCTTCCACCAGACCAGGTTGCTGCAAGCCCCGTCCAACCTGGCCTTGGACACTTCAGAGATGGGGCAGCCACAGCTTCTCTGTGCCAGGGCCTCACCACCCTCATAGGGAAGGATTTCCTCCTAATCTCTAATCCAGCCCTGCCCTCTGTCAGTTTGAAGCCCTTCCCCTTGTCCTATCACTCCATGCCCTTAACAAAAGTTCCTTTCCACCTTAGTCCTTTCTCCCCTTTCCTCCCTCTTTATTACTACAACCAATTCAGAGTAAATTTTCAAAGTCATATTCTTCAGAAATACTTTTAATTGCTTGGATGAAAATTCTCCAAGCAATAGAAATTCAACTCCTTTCTCTGAGAGACACCCTAATGACTCACAACTTGCCAACACTGCTGAATTGACCCATGTCAGAACCTTCCTCAACTCTGTTGTAGCTCTCATTTGGAGAACCTGACATTCAAAATTATTGTAACATTTTTCTTCCTTGGCAAAAGGTGAGGACACCTGTACTACATGAGGTTGAATTTGAGCTGCCAGAGGCCAACATGACCCTTTGCTGACAGCCCCGATGTCACGTAATCCACAGATCCATTACTGTGACCAGCACTGAAAACAAACCTTTCCTTTTCAGACAATTCCTTTCACCCTCCTGCTTTGCAACAAGTACAGAAGTAGTAAGAACACTCCATCCTGTACCTCTCCAAAGTTCAAAAGCTCAGCACTCCATGCCCAAATCTCAGCTGATTACAGCTGACCCCATGGTAGCTGTTGCTGTTCTTCTCCCCAGCTCAGGTGCTGCTGTAGATGTTGTTGAGGTGCCTGAGCTAAGCAGGACAAGCATAAGCAGTTTAATGGTGAGTCATTCCCAGCCCACTCAGGAACTGTCTCGTGAGCAGCTCAGCAAAGCACATACTGAGGGAAAAAAACCCTCTCTTAAGGATAATAATCTCCTTATCTGTTATGTCAGGAGCTGAAAAGGGACACATGAACAAGCCCTGTTCGGTAACACCTTCTGCCAGGCAAGCCCTGCTCCTGGCTGGCACGTAGGATCAGGTGAGTGCTGTGTCCTACTCATTGGCTCATGGAGGGAACAGGCCCTGCAATGCTCTCCCCTTTAAACCACAGCAATTATGGCAGAGGGCTTACACAGCAGACACTTACAGCCCTGGGTGGGCACATTTGGACACCTCATAATCTGAGTTTCCTGATCAGTCAGGTACTGATATTCCAGACCTTGCAATATAAAAATGTTTTAAACTCAATGGATCAGTTTAAGGCTTTTACAGCTTACATTTTATTATTTATAAAATGACTGATGTATGATACTCATTGCTCAAGAAGGGAAGAACTAGTAGATGGATACTGGTTTTTCATTATCAACTTTCACTGTGGTCTATTATCATTAATCTGTCAGTACCTGCTTCTACCAGTTAATTCCTTTGACTCTCCCCAGTGTGCACCTTGTTCTGATATGATATCTCATGTTTGCAAGGACAGGAGACTTGGACTACTTGAAACTGGCAGCAAGTACTTTTGGACTTTTGTTAAAGTGACCGTGAGAATCACTGAGGCCAAACGTAAAAGCCAGGCTGGAGGAGGTTATAAAAAATTCAAGTGGCAAGTGTCTCTCCTTTTATCTGACAGTTGTTATTAAGAGGCCATAAGTCATCTGTGACACACAGAATTTAAACACAGGAGATAGAGGTAGAGCTCCACATTACAAACAGGGCATCTTCCCTCTACAGATGGTTTATTTGCTACTGATGGGACAGAAATAAACTGAATCTTTAACTGAAGAGTTCCTCTGCCAGCAGCCAAAGCCATCACATCCCCTCTCTACTGGATGCAGTGCCTCTGGGACTCCAGCCCACAAGTAGCACCTACACCCCTGTAAGCATGCCCAGATGCAAGAGCTGGAACAGGAAATACACCTCCATAACTAAATCCCAGGATACTTCAAGGACTCGTTCATTACCTGCACCTAAATTTCTATGTATAGCTAATCTTACAGAAGAAAGGCATATGAAATGTCCTCTCAGGAAACATGCCATTTCAATTAAATCAAACATCTTTCTATGTAATTGAGAGGAAAAAAGAACAAGTTAAGCCTGGCCTTACTTTGCACACCTTGGAGTTCAACCCCAAGGCTGAAGACTTTCTAGAAATCTCATTCTCAGGAATTAACAAAAAGCATTAATCACTTGTAAAAATGCCCCACAATGTTAACTGTACTCACCTCCTTTATCCACAGCAGTTTAGGTGGTTGCATTTCCACAGACATTGCTCCCCCTACGTAGTTCAAAACTCTATGTTGTGTTGCATTGATGAGCTCAACTTGACTCACTGCACGATGATCCATCCACATAATAACATTCCTATGGTTCTGTCCTGGGGAGAACAAAAGGAAAAAAAGATTATTTTAGGTCTGGTTTAACCCCACCTCAGTATTGTGAGTTACCCTGAGCTGCTTCACACTTTCACTTCTACATCGAAAACTCAAATTCTCTTTGAGCTAATAATCCACACTAAGTATCTAAAAACATTTCAGCCCTCTGAGCCAACTTTAAGACACGCTGAGCACTGAGAATGCTGACAAACCAATCAGGCTTGGGAGCATCCAAGAACCTTGAAACACCATGCTCTCGTAGACCATATTTCAGTCAAAGAACCCAAACTTCTTGACAAAGTTCACATAATTAGTTAAAAATATAAAGAAGCATTTTGGTGACCAACGACTAAAAATGCAACAAAATCTGAACAACTCTGCTGTAAATTGAAATGAACTCAGCTAGTCAGTTAGCTAGACAGCTACAGAGATTCTTTTTCCTCCTCTGTGCTTATGGGCTGAACTACCCCAATTTCTTTCAGAAGTACAGTTTCAGGGGGAATAATTTGAAACTGCCTGAAACCCCACCACTGCATGACTTTTAGCAGCATGAGAATATTCAGTGAATTCTTGTCTTCTTGTTTAACACCATCACTCACAAGTTCCATGGGGATATCAGAACATAAAAAATAAGAACTGAATTTGACTCACTAGACCAGAATAGCCCCAGACATCATTAGGCATTGAACAGATTGTAAGATACTCTGAAGCTGAAAAATAAATAATCCCATCTAAATTTAGAGAAGGATGTTTTGGGGGCAAAGCTGGTTTTTTGAGGAGGATAAGAGGAGATTACAAATATATCTGAGAATAGGAAGAGAACATACACAGAATTGTGAGTAGGTCTCTGCAACTACTGATTTTGCACACACCTAATCTTAAATGGGATTCACTGAAAAATAAAGTGCAACAAAGACTTTAAGTCTTCTGAATCATCAACTCTAATAAAACCCACCAGACTTTTAAAAGAAGGTCACAGTCAGCTTCTGAAGTTTAGCACTGTCCTAGACAAAGACAGAGCACCAGTATAATAAAATACACAACTGAACCTCTTGCCTGCAGCTTCATGACACAGTGAGCAGTTGGACTACAGTAACACCAACATTATTAGCATTCCTTTAGCCAGTGTGGATGGGCACTTATACACACTATAAAAGCCATGATCAGCAAAGTCTGAAGGAGGAGAAAACATGCAGAAAAGAAAAACGAGCCTAGATTTCCCTAAGAAGCAATTTCTTTGAGCCAAGATGAATTAATTTGATCTTGGGATGCCAAATACTTAGCCAAACAGTAATTCTCATCCCAAAATTAATTTTGCAGTAGAATTAAAACACTAAAACCGGAAAAAAAATCCTCTTATAAAAAATGTTTTGTGTCATCTCCATCTCCAAGAGTCAGCCCCAGCAAGTGGATGAAATGGAAAGTTCACTCCCACCAGTGGTAGCACACACACAGTAACACCATTTTTTGTGTGCAGTCCTACCTTCACAGTTGACTGCCAAAGGCTGGAACTGTTTATCCAGAACAACAAGAGAACATGTAGCATCAAAACCAACCCCTCGAATCTGGGCAGCATCCACTCCACAGACAACCTTCTGAAAATACACAAAACACACATGAATACAAATGCATCAATTCATATGCAAGTCCCACAGAACTAATGGGTACAGAAAATGAGTTACAAGTTAAAAATGCGAGCTCAAACTGTGAAATTCTTTATATTCAGTATTCTTTAACACTTCTAATGAAAAATACATAAATTACAAAAAATTCTTTGGTTCTAAAAACTGAATTCAGAGGTCCTTAATAGCTTTTTAATTTTACTAGCCACAGTCCTGGATAAAGCAGGAAGCACAAAAATATCAGAAAATGAAGGTAGCAGAAAACCAGCAACATTTATTTTCTGTTTTCAAAAGCTTAGAGTTGAGCTGCATGTGAAACACGGACACAGGATTAGGGCCAAGTGTTTCCATCAGTTACTTCACTCAGTTCCCACCTGTGGAAGCAATAAATACTCTAGAATTGCTTTGGTTATATTGAGCCACAGCTTTTTGCCTTGCAATACTGAAGGGTCCCAAAAATAAAACTGGTCAAAACCTATAGCAGTGATAACACCTCTGCAATGCACACCTTTTCTCTCTCACCAAGAGTTTGGACATCATACTTTTCTGAAAGATTTTCAAAAAAAAAAAAAAAAACAAAACCACTGCCCCAAAATGCCTGAACTTCATGGCTTCCAGCAGCACTGGAAAAAAACCACAACACCCATGTGGATTAAGTGCCAAAGGAGGTTGCAAGACACCTAAAATGAACAAGAGGAATAAATTGCCACTTCTCAGCAACAATAAAAATATCATTATTTTAATTAGTACTATAAGGAAAGACTTTCACTAGACTTGCTACAGTGCCAGTCTCTTACTGGCTCTGGAAAGCCATAGTTTCAGAGACTGTTTTATTGCTCACACATCAGAGACTGCATTTAAAGGGGTCCAGAGCAAGAACAAAGCAACTCACAAAAAGAAAAATCAAATAAAGAGTAAGACTTGCTTGTCTTCAACAACAAGCTGTTCTTCCCTATCACTCCTGTCACTCCCTTCTTTCCCTGCCTTCCCCCTCACCTCCTCCTCTCCATCTCAGGGCATTTCTACAGAGCCAAGCTCATTAATGTTTGAAAAGGTTGATCAATAACAAGACAATGGGTGAACTGTCCATCTGCAAATTACCAAGCCTGTCATGAATATTTAAAAAGCCAACCCTAGAACATGGAGCAGGCCTGGGCTTAACTAAGGAAGATGAAATGGCCTCTGTGTGCACTGCCAAGTAAGGCCACAGATTTACCTTTACTGCCAGCAGGTACAGGCAGAGCCCTGGATCTGGGGCACAAATTTTCCCCCTACAGTAAGGTTTATTTCAATCTGAGTTTATGCTTGATGTTATCCACAAACATTTATCATTTATTTTGGTCTTACAATACTGGATCCTCTTATAATGAGGATCACAGGTGTTATGTTGGGGACCATCTACAAACCAAATAACAACTTCTATACAATAAATGCTCCTTTGTGACTCCAATGCAGTATGAGCACATCTTCAAATATATGCACTGCCAGGCTCTAAGCAACCTTGACTCAAAGAACTGTCTCGTGGGTAGAACAAACACCAGCAAAACAAACCCCACAGACGTGAGACCTGAAGGCAGTGGGTAAGTCCTCCCCCTGCCAAAACAGCACAAAGAAGAGCCTTTCATTCTATTTGCAATTGTAGCAGAAGTTTTTTTCACTCTGGCCTTCAGCTCCTCACCAATAAAACAAACACTGTGAGGCTCCATCATCCTCAAGGTGACTTTAATGTACAAGGACCGTTACAAGTTAAACAGCACAAACCGACCTGAAGGACTGCAAGACCTTAAACATTCAAAACTTGAAGAACTACTTGCAACACAAATCCTTCATTTTCTTTGCCTTTGCCCACCTTTGTGACTGAGCAGCAGGCAGCCCAGATGTCTGCAGAGGATTGCTCATAGTGGTCTGGCTGGGGCTCCCAAATTTGGATGGGCTGCTCCGCATGTGCCACCACTGTCCCACAGCCATCGACCAAAGCTGCTCGAACACTCGCTGAGCCAACATCAATCCCAACATAGTACCTGACTGCAGTCTCCTTACTGTGCATTCTTAATAAACCTGTGGAAGGGAAAAAAAAAGGATTAAAAGCAGATAAAACGACTGATGATGGAAAACTGTGCTGAACAGGGCAGGAGAGAAGCAGTACAGGCATTTCACAGGACAACTCATTTTTGCAGCAAGTCTTCACTTGGCAATTTTTAATTACTTAGAGTTTTCAAGTCTTTCACTAGTTGTACCACTTTTCTTCAAATATTTGGACATATGCTGCATGGCACAGAAGCTCCTGAAAAGCAAACTGTAAATGTGCATGTAAAATATGCAGGCAGTGATAAAATTCCTCCACTCATACAATGAAAATGCGCTGTTGTCACAGAGTATCACATCTACATAAGGGGAGAAAGAGGCAAAGAGAGAGGAAAGGAAGCAAAGGTTGTGCTGGTGCTTTACACACAAGGGAAATTTCAACCCAGAGGCTCCTGGGTTTTTTTGGCAGATGGGGATGCTGGTGATGCCTGGAAAGCTGAATTCCCCTCTGGACAAGACAGCCAGAACCACCACAGGTCATTCACTATCTCAAAGCAAACAAATTCCACTCCTGAACCAGTGAAAGGGGGGCCGGGCTGGGCTCCACTGAGCCCTGACCTGGAAGGGAACGAGGATCACAAGAGTTGCTGCCTCCCATCAAACCAACCAGCTCCTGAGTGACATTTTACTGCTGAATGGGACAGTGAGTCAGGCTGGAGCTCTGCAGATTCTGGAAACAGTTTCCTCTTCCAAAAAAAACTAGTGTGATGCTGATAATTAAAGTAAACACGTGACAATCTGATACATGTTAACCAAGGAAAAAGAAAGAAATAAAAAGTTAGGTTTTTAAGAGCTCTCCACCATCAATCCACTCAACTTTAAAGCCTCAGAAAATAATTTGCTGAAAAAGTGTTATGAGAGCATCCGATGAAATCTCTGCCTACTCTCTGACAACCTACAAGAACAAAGTGAGGTTAAGTTAATTGATTTAATTATTCACAATGAGTTGCATATTTCACTATATTAACTGTTTCACATTTAATATAGTGACAAATTCACAGTTCTAAATTTCTCACAGTTTGTTCCTAATTAATAGTTAACATTTACATTTTAACCAAGCTGGGAGAATGCTAAGTAAGAGCTGGTACAAGTATTTGAAACATCAGACAAGTACCAAGTTTAGTGCCTGTGCGAATCTGTTACGTCTCTGAGCCACGTGGAACTCAGCTGACACACAGCTTCTGACTTCCAGAAAGAGAATGGATCGATTACCACTCAATGAACACACCGTATTTACAGAGCATCAAAATGGCTCTACTTAAAAACAGCCCACCTCCCCCAAATAAATGACCTGGATTACTTCTGGATGTGGACTAAGGGGTGGTTAGAGGGAGAGGCATAGGCAAAGAGGGAAAGATTGGAAAGAAATGCTTAGTAGAATATGATTATTCACATTTCAAATTAATCCTTTTTTCTCTTTTTTAATCATAATTTTGAGTACGGGTCAGGAACTATCCTTGGCTGTCAGTCTGAACATAGCACTGGCCCAATACAGGTGGCTGTTCACATCCATGGCTGGCTTGTAACCACTGCTGCTTGATGGACATCACAAATCTATAATCACTGAGGCTAAGAGGTTGCAGGTAAAATAAAGAAAGAAAAAAAAGGAGCCCTTTGTCTCAGAAAACTCCAAACATGATTCTGGGTAATAATTAAGCAGTGTAACAGCTGGGCAAAGTTTCATTTGCCCTGAAAAAGGCAGAAGATAACACCTTGGCAAAAGAAACCTACTGAGGCTTCCCCTCATCCCAGCCTTTAAACAGCTCATGGGAATGTGGTCAGTCTGCGGAGATCTGTTATCACACAATGATTTTGTCCTGCTTCAAGCTGGCACTTCATGCTCAGACCCCACTGCTGGGTCCAGGGACCATTTTTTGTTCTCTACTTGGACAGCACAAGGGAGTTCTATCCATCACTAAAACTCCTGAGCAGACCAAAGCAGTTACGAGCTGCATTCTGCACGCACCATGGCAGGGGCACCAGAGGAAGCTGTACAGATCATCAGCTTCTAACAGTGTCAGAAACTTGGAAAAACTCAAAACTACAGAGTATATTGTGGCTCCTCTCTGTGAGCACTGGCTCTGCCCAGCAGCTGAGGTGCCACACACTAATCTCGTTAAGCGAGGTCATGTGTTCCAGCGATGAGCAAGCAGCTAAAAATGGTGTGCCGTGAGTTAACACTAAGGAATATTGGCAAGAAAGCTCCTTTATTTTCTTGGCCCTGGCTCTGTGACCTGGTCAGACTAACAAAAGCCGATGCCTCTGCCACAGAGGGGACGTGGGTGACTAACGCTGCATCTGTCACCTGGGGGGACACGCGCTCGGCATCTCCCTCTCAGCCCTCGGCTGGAAAAGCAGTTTGAAGACGTTCTTTTCAAAAGATGGTGTTTGTTCACTTTTTAATTTTGCACTCCATCTCCTCAGAGCTGCAAAGGCTGGCTGCAGGTGCTGCTAGTTACTTGGGAGAAGCTTTACTATAAAGACATTGCATAAGACTGTTCCTGATACTATCTCACGAATTTCCCTGGTTTTCCCCTATTTCGGCACTGCCTTTAGCTGCTGACTCAGAAAAAATTGAGAATAAACCACAAGCTGCAAAACAGATTATTATTTTTTTTAAACACAGGCAAATCTTTCTTCCTTGCTTTTCACAAAATACAAATAGCAAAAGGAGTATTTTACATCCTGTCTCCTGCTCACACACACAATATTACTCTAAATTTCTCTCCCTTGTAAGGCAGCCTTGATTTTAGCTCATTAATGTGTTTTTGCTACTTAGAGAACAAGCTTAACAGATGTTAGAGAATTAAGCTCACAGTACCTCCTACTCAGCACTTAAAATTATGGCTTTGCATTGGATTCTTCCCACAAACATTTGAAACCTGGAACCCAATCTGCCCATGTAATGTTTACTTTCCTTTTTTTTCCTTACTAAGCAGCCAGGATGTGCACGTGTGAGTGACTGGGCAGGAAGCAGAGTTTGTTTACGTGCTCCAGCAGCCCCTATCAGCCTGTGCACATCCAGGAGTTTACTGCTGTAAATCAGTGCACACAGGAACCAGTTAAGTGACAGAGTTCAAAACCAAGAACCACAAACCTATTTTAACTGGTCTTTCTCTGAGTAAAGCTCCCCTAGATTCACAATGCAATACTCCATGTCTTATGAAAAAAAAGGTAAAAGTAAATATTAATCTTTTTTTCAAGCACCGAGTTACTGAGGCTGTTCGAAGTAAATAGGATCTGCAATCGGATCTGATCTGCTTGCAAAAACATCATTTGATGCCAAGGGTTTTTCTGGAATACCAGTGGCTTGGTATGCCACCTACTTATCAAGAACATCCACGGAAAGCACTGTCATCTCCAGGTCATAAATGTCACCCATTATGGACTCTGCCCAAAGGTATTTCTTGAGAATCAGCAGTCAGGCCAGTGGAAAATCTTTAGCCAAAGTACTTTAAGAAGAATTTTAAAGAGGACCGTTGCCATTCTGTTTTGCTTCCAGAAGATTCCTTTGGTACACGAGGAAGCTCCAAATTAGAAATCAAGAATCTCTTTAATGTAGTTCAGAGGTAGCAGAAGATCTCAGGTTCAAATTTCTTGACTTGGAATACGGACACCAGCGTTCATTGCCACGTGCAAAGAAAACTTTGTTATGCAAAGAAAACTTTGGTTTGGGTTTTGTATCTATTGGATTCTCAACATACAGCTTCTGCAGGCAATGCAATCATGAGAAAAACAGCAACCCAGGAAAATGACTGAAATAACACGTCCTAAAAGACCAGACAGGTCCATTCTTCACGTGCAATATTCCCAACATGACACCAGAATATCCGATGCAGGGATGATGCATGTTTATGTATGTCCAAGTGGTGGAAAACAGTGGAGATGGAACCTTTTATCCCCTTGAAGTATCTAGCTCAGAAAGCCAAGAGCAAGTTTGCAGCCAAGAAAAAAGGCCTCCAGCACTTTAACAGAGCCTTGTCTGTCCACTGCAGAATTAGGGCCTCATATTTACAATTTATTAATTGAATTTGCAAACAGAAGGTGAGAGACAGAGAAAAAAAATAAAATTAAAAGCCATGTTCAGCTTGACTGTGTTAATCCATGACTGTAACTGCTAAGGCAGGACAAGAAGCCAAAATTCCCTCCAAGCACTAAACCAGCAATGGCCTCTTTCTCTGCAAATCACAGCAGGGACAGAATGGCTTTTCAAACAAGCATTTATGATCAAAAGGCTACAGCATATGATAAATATTTATATGGCCCATTAAATAATAGTCTGTATAAATATTATTCAAAATGTGCATGCTGGAAACCACAGACTTCCCAGTTTATCCTTATACAAACGTGTTAGTTTTCCCACATAGGCAATGAAAAAAAAAAAAAAAGGAGGGGTAAAACTCGGTTGCAAAAATATTTCTTTAAAAAAAAAAAAGAAAATCCTTAACACTATTTACTTTAATTTAAAAGGAATGACTAAGTAATCAGAAGACTGTTTCATTACAACTAGCAAGCTCTGTCCTACTTCATTTCATGGTTATCAAGTTGCCAGGACGTACCTTTCTCACATGAACACAGGTTGAAGCTCAGCTCAAGTTTTTAGCAGCAGCAAATCTAGATTTGCTGGTATCATGTCCTTAAATGCAAGCAATTAGGAAGGACGGGCACGTCTGTTTTAAACTTTGATCTTTGGAACGCTGCAGGCTGCCCAGCCTCGGTGATCATGGATAAACAGTATGTTTTTAGTAGTGCAGCTGTGCTTTTCTATGGATTACCAAGAAAAAGGTTAACAGGCTCAAATTAGGGTTCCTAATCTTTGTGTGAAAAGATCTAAATATGTTAAATAAAAGCTGCTTTTCGATTGTAGAAATTGAAAGAATCATTTTTGACATTATACTGGAAATTCAGCACTTTGTTGGCTTTCTAGAGTTACAGTAAACCCACACACAGGGCAGTGGTGGAGTGGCCATCTC